GGGTTTAGGGATTCGGGTTGAAGGTTCATGGATTAGGGTTTAAGGGGTTTAGGGATTAGGGTTGAAGGTTCATGGACTAGGGTTTAAGGGGTTTAGGGATTAGGGTTGAAGGTTGATGGACTAGGGTTTATGGGGTTTAAGGATGAGCGTTGAAGGTTCAGGGTTTAAAGTCAAAGGTTTAAAGTTTTTGGGCTTAGATGGGCTTAGGTTTGTCTAGTTAGTTTTTAAACCCTTAACCCTGGCTTTGAGGCCAGGGCCTCCAGCCCAATGTGTTCTGAATCCGGAAACTACCGTGAAAGGCCCTCGAACTCATGGCTGCAAATTGATTGAAGCGATTAACTGGGCCACTTTCTGTGTCCCGCATTTGGAAAAGAAACTCTTTTCTCATCAAACAACCCTAAACCCTGAACCGGAGGTTGCCTTTGCTGAAGCCAGCAGGATTGTATACAAGATGGGAATCCTAGCTCGAAACCCTAAAACTCGACAAGTAAGGCCTAAACAGAACACATGAGTCATAGTCCAAACTCCTCGTATCCCCCTTAATAACCCCTATAGTAGTCCACTATATAATCCCTTATGTAACCCCTTGTAGGAGTTTTGATTATGGCTCACATGTGTTGGAGGCGTGGCCAACTCAACGGAAGCTTCTGATGGCGTGTTTGCCCAGTCTTCCACCAAATGCCAAATGATGATTTTGCTCTACTCTACCCAGGAATTGATGACGTCAACGTGTAGATTTTCATTCTGGCAAGCGGTGGCTTCTTCCCGCCAGGCTGCCTGTCGGTCAAAGTGGTCGAACAACATTGTCGAGTCCTCGAGCGTTGTCACATTTGAGGAATTCATCAATTTGAGGTTGGGGTTCCGTGTTTTCGGACTTAGGTTCTGGCTTGCATCAGGCATGATGTTGTAGCTGGTAGAAACGCATGTGCAAGGGGTTATCGATTGCCATGAATGTGGGGGAAGTGCATGCAGGTCCTATAATTTGACTGTATTCGACCTGGAATTTTTAAGGCAAGCTGGCCCGGCCCCTCCCTCCAAGTTGTTGATCTGCTTCTGCCTGGGCTCAATAACCTGTGAGCTTAGTTGCCCAGCACGCGAGCCAAATTGAAGACTGCAGCTGGAAGAGCTTACCTCCGCACAATGAGAAGCCCAGCGCAATGACTGAATGCGTAGACTTGGCTTACTTCTCATCTATGTCAGCAGCAAAATCCTTGCAACTGTCCTCACGCTAGACCACGTCACATGGTATTCGCATGTCTCAACATGTGCTTCCCCTGATTTAGCACAGCAATACCGACCTTCGTATGACTGATCATGGCCCCGTCACTTCGAGAAATCTCCCTTCAACTCCTTAGAAACATGCGACAGAGTGCATAAAGAGGGGGAACCGACCCTGATTCATGGAAATGGCCATGTCTCTCCTGAGCACTGCCCGGGAAGCGTTTAATGCGACCTCACATCTTCAAACAGACGGCTCAGTACTACAGGGGCATGAAGTGCAATGTATCTACCAGTATAACTACTGTAGGGACAGTCACGTGGAGTATAAAACGGAGTATGACAAGGGGTTTAGAAGGATTATCCAGAATAATTGCCCATCCAGCTTTGAGGCCTATTTGAGAAGTACCGCGCACCATATACACTGATTCTAGGACTGTGATATTGGTAGCTAACATGCTTCTACATTGATGGCTTGAGGTGTGGGAACTCCTCCACATTGGGATGACACATGGCAACTACTCCGCGGAGTCCTCTCTTGTCCACATTCAGAAGCCAGTGAGGGCCCATAGAACGCCGATTCTCGGCTTCAACAGTCCAGCCACACCCCGCCTAAGTTAAGGGTATTCACTACTAGGGGGTGGGGAAGTTGTTACCAGTGGGCGGAGCTCAAGTATGGCCACAAACTGGCCATACTTAGCTAGAAATGAGAGAATGGATCCTTATAGTAGTCCCTAAATAACCCATTATAGTAGTTTCCATTTTCTTTTCCATTCCTTCTACACCCGTATTCCTATACAATCCCATTATAGCATTATACCAGTTTTCATGTTCTTTTCCACTCCTTCATTCCCTAAACCCTAAAGCCCTAAACCCCTAAACCCCCACGCCGAGCTGGGGCCAGTACTCTGGGTTCCTCGCCGTCGGAGACCTGGCAGGCACTTGGCCATAGCAAGCTGGAGGGGTTCCCCTACTACCCCCCTCTATAGGGTTTAGGGTTTTAGAGCTTTATGCAAGCAGTCTGCGGACA